TTTGGTGGGTCATACTTTTTGTCATAGCTTACTTTTTAAATGCCGCCAGGGACTACACAGCGGCATTTGATGACCTGACAAAGATGCAGGCGAATCGAACGGAAACTTGCCCGGGAATCAGCAAGTTGGATGTGAACAGATCGTTGTCAAAAAAAATCTTCCATGAATCAGCTAATTGAAGCAGATGTGCACACTTCCTATCAAATGGTGGTTTCCATTCATTTTTATTGGGGGTAGCCCTAGTTATCCATCCATTTTAGATGGGGATTACCCTCTGGTAAACTAACATAACTATTGAAAATGGCCATAGAAATAGTGGATTTTCCCATGAAAAATGGTGGATCTTTCCATAGCTATGTGACAGTTTACCAGAGGGTATTCAAAAACCATCCATTCTTAGGGGTAGCTCCATTGAGGGAAAGCCCATGACGTTGAATCCCTTGAACCCATGCGAAGGCGGAGATGCGCAACGTGCTGGAGACTTTGGAGGCACGGCTGAGATCTCGCGAGTCCATCCGACCATCTCAATCCAATAGCTGGAGGATAGTACCCGGGGTACCCCCAGCCATCAGCATTTCAGGAAACCTCCAAAAATAGTTTTTATTTTCTCTAAACTATGGTTACTGAAAACTCACTCACTATGTTTTGATGATCCTCCAAGCAATGTGTATAACATGAGGATGGAGGTATCCCAAGGTGTTTGGAGGCTTTTCAATGGTGTAATGGTGTTTTTTTTTAAATTTATCCGGGTGCATATTGTGGTTTTTAATGGTATTATAACTATATTCGTACATATAAATCGTGTACTAGAAATATAATGAGTATAATAATGAGCAACCAACAAAAAATGTGGTTCTTTTACATGGGATATAATGGGATATGAGAATGTATAATTACTGTGAATATCATGTGGATAGGCCAATTGTATCGATCTCACTAGCCGAGGTCGCCATTTTTATATGGGGAATGATTCAAACATGACCATATTTCATATTGAAGGTAGATCATTATAGTTAATCCAGATATATGAGACTGGGGTGTATCTCCAAAAGTGCGAACTTTGTCCAGAGAAAATGGTCGTCAGTTTCAGTAAGAGCTTTACCACAGCTGCTAACTTCGACCTGGCCATGAATCCCGTTCTCAACTACTGTAACCAGGGGCAAAAGGAATGACACAGGGTTGTGAACACTGCTCAAATGGTAAACCATATTGGTGTATCTCTTCAACTATGACGAAATGGCTGGTTTAGTGGCCCCATTTACAACTAAAGGTACTTGGTTACCCCTGATAAAGCCCCCGAAACGGGAAGTAGTAGCAAAAAAATGGAATGAACTTGAACTAATCTAGAACATCATGGCGGTATAAGCCCTAACTATCCTATAAATTGAAGGAACACAATGTGTTTTTTTTGACAGACAATATACCTGGAAACGATAGCAAAACGATGGGAGTGAGTGGTTGGGGAGCCTGGGTAGTGAGTTCCTAGGATGATCTTCCAAGCAGAGGGGTAAATCAACCATAGTGTCTAAGATTAATGATATTAATGTAGATCAGCAATGAATATCAGAACCTCTTGGGTTGGTTTACAATGGTTTACATGGATAACTCTGTGGCAATTTTGACGGATGAATCTACTAGCCTGCTAAAACGTTCATTTGTTTTTGACAGGCTGCAACAACGTTTGGCCAGGTTGGTCGTCCAGAATCATATCCACCAAGGAAGTGTCAATATCTGGGAGTTGTGACAGCCATGGCCCACCTTTTTTACAAGTAGCTATACTCATATCTTCGAATCCCCGCAGTTACAAAATGCTTTGCATGTTGAGATGGCCGTTTCTGACAAGAATTGGTGACAGTGACATTCCCATTTATGGTCAAGTGATAGACATGCACGTGTTCGCAACGCAGGTGTTATGTATAATTCACGCCGTTATCTATACATAGGTAAGAGCAGAATGTTCCTTAGATACATTTGCACAAAAGTAAAGATTCCATTCTAGAGCAGTACGTTTTTTAACAACCATATTTGGATGCACTCTTTTCGCAGATGTCATATTATGTTATTCGATCTATCTATATATATATATACATAATGCATATTATGCATCATACATACACATATTGTGGATACATGGTTGTGCATCTTTCGTTGTATATGGATAATTATATGTAATACGTATTAATTATGTCCCAAGTAATGTTGGGCGTTTTGAACATCCAGCGATCTGTGTGTCCTTCCGATCAGGAGATTGACCTGGAGGTGATGAAAGGTAACAAGGAGTGACCGCAATTTGACCGCAATCGATAGATGATGATTACCCTCTGGTAATTTTGCAAAAAACAATTGAACATCCCCATTTTTAATGGGTAAATCAACTATTTCTATGGCAATGTTCAATAGTTTTTTGTATGTTTACCAGAGGGTAGGATTGGGGAAATCATCCCCAGCCGAACTAATCATCTTAGATGTTTGGGAAATATGGTAGCTTTCCCAGAATCCATTGAAGTTCATCATCCCAACTTCAATATGACCATATCTGGGGGGAACAATCCAAATTAGCCTGTTCAAAAAAAATATTTCATTTTCCAGATTGGCCTCTGCCAGATTTGTGACACACAGATTCGCTGTTTCGCCCAAACATATGTTGTGTTTGGCAAAAACTGGGAGTTGTTGGGCGAGTGATCCACCAAACGTATCCAAACGTGGGATCCCTTGTCATGCAGAGAATTGCGTGGAGAAACACCAAATTTTGGTGGTACAGATGCAGATTTTGCTCCTTCAGCAAATACACTCAATATTCCCAAGTTTCGCAGGGATTTGCTGAACATGTGTGTTTCCCAATGGTCAGTTGTGTCACCACTTGGGGAATCTACGTATACCCTCTGGCAAACTCACATATCTATGGAAAATCACAATGTTTAATGGGTAAATCAACTATTTCTATGGCCATTTTCAATAGCTATGTTAGTCATTACCAGAGGTTAATGGATAACATAAACAACCATAAAGATCAACAAAATTGTGACAGTCTCCAGTCGGAAGATCATCGACGGGCCAAGTTGGCAAGAAATCCCATCCCCCAATTAGCAAACACCATGGATTTTTCTGATCCGAAAAAAAAAGTGGGGCCCCATGCGTTCATGCCCTCAACATCCCAAAAAACAATGTTTTTTTTTTTAAAGGGGGATAATATTTGGATGTGTTTCTCAAAATGGCATGTTTGCATAGCTTGAAGAATAGTAAAGACTTAGTATCTACAGCTAGATGAGCATCTCCACCAAATAAGTTGATACGACAAGCTGGTGAATTTAAGGGGCGTACTCCATATGATATGACCCCAAGTTCTTTGGTAAGTAAAGTGGTCATATCATATGATGAATATATGAATCAATAGTGCTAAGATGGGAAGGAATTGGATTCCATCTCAGCCGGTTCTTTGGAAGTTTTGGAGATGTTTTCAGAGTGGCTGGATGGAGTACGTCGACAGAAATTGCGGCATGATATATCAATGTCCCGAGATTTTGAATGATTATATTGTGTATGATTAGTGCGGGACCTAATCACGTTGGCATTAAATTCATCCATTATATATATAATAATATAATATATATATAGTTATATATATATGGTTGGTGGTTTGGAACATGAATTTAATTTTCCATATATTGGGAATAATAATACCAACTGACTCAATATTTTTCAGAGGGGTAGGTCAAGCACCAACCAGATATAATTCTATATATATATGGCTGGCATGTCCTGGCAAGGACCTGTGGAAGGAAGCACGTCCACTGATGCGTGTGAAACCCAAGAGTTTGCTGAACAACTTGGCGGGTTGGTTGGTTAAGCTATACCACAAATATCTAGAAATGAACTGGTGAATCATAATGTTATGGATGAACACTTGCCATGAATTCGGTATGCAGCATGTTCAAGCCAACTAGGCTCAAGTTGAGATCTACATGATTTAAACTAAATTAAACCCTACCCCAAAAAGTGATCCCAAGAGTGAACAGATCCAGGTTCAGGCCCGTCTGTTTGGAAGGTGTATTTCTTCAGCGGAAGCGATTACTTCATCACATATGGTGAATGATTAATGAAGGAGTTTGGTTTGATGTCATACACTGTCACCCAGCAAATGGTATAGGAAAAAAGATGAAAATAAATTCAGACTATAATGTGCCAAAAAAAACATGAAAGTTTTCTAGATATCGCTACAAGCTCACTGATTTGCTGATGAATAAATTGTTTGATTTGAGATTTTTTCGGTGACCATGGTGACCTTTTTTTGTTTTTGCAGAAATCCAACAACGGATTCGATATATAAATCCCTCCATCACCCATAGGATCCATGGTGCTGGTATATATGCTAACATTGGGGGTATATTGATGGTAAATGTTACCATATATAGCATACATGGATCCTATGGGTCATGCTTTGGTTGTTTTCCATTTTTGGGTGCCATGAAATCACCGTTTCAGCAATGGTTCCAGTCGTTTTTGGTGCAGCTTCATGGATTGACTGAGGTGCCGAAATGGCTTTGCAGGGATCCCCAAACTTTGGAGATCAAGACTTACGATTTTGAGCGGTTTTTGAGGCCCTGAGCCCAGTCGGAAAGATTGACTCATGAGGTCAACATTTGTTTTAGCTATTTGAATTCCTGCAAACTTCCTTCTGGACAATCTATGGCCCATCTCTGGCTGAAGAACATCAGGATATTGGATCACGTTTTGAAAGTACTTGAAACTACCCTCCAGCAAACTGATGTGGCATTATGCGATTCTTATCCGCAGATTTTTTTTTTGGTCAAACATATCTTTGTATTCTCATGTTTGATTACACAAGGGTATCTAGAATCCAGAGATTCGTAATAGGAAGTTTTCTCATCAAGGAATCAGATTTTCCGTTGCCATGTTTGATTGCTCAAGGGGGTCCAGATGCTCATAGATATCAATCATATCAATATATATATATAACTATATATATATATATTAATAATATTAATTTTCTTCATGCCTTTCAGGCGTGAAACGCTTTTGCAGTCAGTGCCTTTGCTGCGTCGCGCTCCAGATGAGGACAGGAAGAATTTGGATGTGCACGACAGTCTTCCCGGTTGGAAGTCTTCAGAAGTCATTGTGTAGCAGCAGCCATCTAATCCATGCGAAGGGCTAGGGGTGCCAATTCAAGAAACTAAGTGTTGTTAATCATGACTAGTCTGTCGCAAGAACATCGAACAATGATAGAACATGGCTGGCTTGTTTAACCAGCTAGCTGCTACTCAGGGCGAAAGTGGACGACTATATCTTTTCCTAACATATACTGACACTCTCAAACATGGAGATCTCTGATCGAAAGAAAAGCCGTTTTGCGCAGAGAACCAACCATGTGCCAACGACTTGAGATTCCATAGTTTACCATACTTTGTATACCTTCATGCTCATACCCAGCTACTGGTGATACACACTCGAACCATCAACCACACAACTATAGTGCCCAACATCCCTGAAACTCCTGAATATATAAGCAGTTGAGTTGATTAATGAGTTGAGCATTATAGTGATCATGAACTCCTCTATATAAACCATCAGCCTCTTATACAATATGGTTGATATGCAGTGAATTGATGTGCGAAATATGGTGTCGATATTTTTTTGAAAAGTCTTGTGATTTGTCCACACCTTTTGCTGGGATGATAATTCTTGACGTGAGACACATGTGGTAGTTTCTTTCAGTTCTAAGGTCAAGATCTAAACATATATGTAGAGTATAATATAGTATATAATATACCCATCATATAATCCCTGTTGCAATATGTTTAGCAGCAACTAATGGGCATTTTATCAGAAATGTGGGTCGTTCTTTTTTATCACGGACTGCACCGGAAGCGATCTGATGATCACCATAGATCCGCGGTTTTCTGCTGTCCCTTGGACTCCAACATAGATCGAAGTTGCAAACCTTGAAACTATGTAAGTTACAAACCAAATTTGAACAGTTATATTAAGTAGGGTTAATCCACTTACAACTGGGATTATAACCCACTATCACAATTTGAACAGTGGTTCATCCCACTTAGTGGGTTGTACCCTCTGGTAATTTAACATAGCTATGGAAAGATCCACCATTTTCAATGGGTAAATTGGTAAATCCACTATTTCTATGGTGATTTTCCATAGTTCTGTTAAATTACCAGAGGGTAACCCCAGTTGTAAGTGGATTAAGCCTACTTATCCCACGTATAACCATGTTTATAACCTACTTACTAAGTGGGGTCAACCGGGGAACGCTGGAAAGACATACCAGGAGCGTCGGCGCGTGTGGCTACTGTGGACCGAACGCTGTTGGTGTGGCGGCACCGATGAGGCATGGATGCAGTTCTGCGCTTCGTAATCTATGAATATAATTAATATAACCCATGAATATTAAAGGGGAATTTCCCTATGTATATGAATATATACTCGTAATATGTATTTAATAAATGTATATATATATATAGTATATGTATATGTCTGGATGAATTCTAATGACCTCATTGCGGCCTCACTGCAATGATGGTTAGTAAAGAGAATCATCCCCAACCAGCCTTATTTCAGGTTAGTGAATGATGATGCTTTACACAGATATCATATATATATATAGTTTTTTTTTTTTTACATATGTATATATATATATACACATACTTGTAATATATATATATAGGTTTCTTTACATATGTATATATATATAATTACATATTTGAAAAAATGTGTATATATATATACACACATTGTTTCAATTTATATGCATATTATGTATATATATAATTGTATACATTATATATATACACATAAGTGTAAACATGTTTATGTATATATGTAATATGTAATATGTAATATGTAATATGTAATATGTAATATGTAATATGTATATGTATATGTATATGTATATATATGTATATGTATATGTATTTGTATTTGTATATGTATATGTATGTATATGTATATGTATATGTATATGTAAATGTAAATGTATATGTATATGTATATGTATATGTATACATATTTATGTGTATATACATAATATATATAGAGAGAGATGTATATATTGTTCTCAACCGCCATCTCCTAGGTGCCAACACCTTTTGTCCAACCGAATATACGGGTCTGACATCATCGCAGGGCAATGCGCTTTGGTTCCTGATGTCCGTGTGCCGGACAGCCTGCAGGAGGGCATAGCCCAGGATGGAAATTGATCATGGGCTAGGCAACGTTGCCCTTCAAAAGCGGTCATCTTGGTCATCTTGCCAGATGGTAGCGCGGCAATGTTTCTTGGAAGACGGTGAGAGCAAGGTGATTTCAATAGATGACTGGACTACGCAATGCTTGCGGGGAAAATATATCAAAAAGGGTGCAATCCATTTTTCGCACCACCCACGTTGATTAAAAGAATTGTGTTGCATATTTTTCTGGAAATGTTGGGCCTGAGGCAGCAAAGAATAACCTCTGCAAGAATCATTGTTATGAGGCTGGAACCTGCATTGCATACCGGAAAAAATACGGTGACATTGGGATGCAAAACCTTGCTGAAAAATCAAATTCGAACAACACCCCCAAAAACACAACAGTTTTCCATGATTTTATGGCGGGGGGGTTCTGCTTGGTTGCCGTGTGCAAAAAAAATGGAAAGGATATTAATGGAAAACCGAAATTGAAGTTCTAAAATGAAAGTTGCATCCAGCAAAAAAATTGGCCTTGGACATGTTGATGAGTTGAAAGTCAGAAATTTCAATCATTGCGTATTTTTCCTTCATCCAACGTTTGAGGTCTTATGTCTTAGGGTCTTCCGTCTTGGATAATACCATACTCCTAACGGTCTTTGGGTCTACAATCAATTCGGTTTTGCCCTTTGTTTGGCATAAATGAACTATAGGGGAGGTGGTAACACCATTCAAGATCCATGGTGTCGGAACCCAGGGGGGTCTAACATCATTTTACAGGAATTGTGTTTTTACAATGAAGTTCCCAAAGTCCCTAGACAGTAGTTGCGGGGATTTTATTTACATACGTATTACTCGTACCGTATTATTCGTACTGTGTATATATATATATGTGTGTATCAGTATTTAATAATGTATTTAAACATTTATTATGTAGGTATAAGTGTATATTTATGTCTATATATTTGTGTTTATTTATGCACGCATATTTTCTTTACATATTGTATGTTATATATATATTCTGTTTTCTGTACACATGTCCAAAAATGTGTATATATATATGTGTAGATATTTAAATTGATAAATGTGTATTTACGTATATATATATATATCTCTTTACATACATGTATGTAAATATCATTTTTCTACACTTTCTTTTTACATATATATGTGTAAACATATACGTACATATATTTTTCTATGTATATAAACTAAACGATATGTCTGTAACACATATATATATATACACATATGTGTACATGTATCTTTATTTCAATATGTATTTGAAATCATGTATATAGATATGTATTTACAGTAAATATGTATATTTCGATATGTGCTTGTATGTTTATCTATATACTGTACATATTTTTGTTTTTTCTCTACACATGTGTGTATGGGTAGACCTGTTTGTATTTGTACATATAGTTTTTTGTTTGTATTTAGTGTAATATGTGCACGTATCATTGTATGTATATGAGTAAATATCAATGTAAAAACATGTGTTAGGTGTTTTGTGTATACATATATATGTGAAACATTTTTTGCATATACTTTTTTTTGTGTGTGTACACATAAATACATCCGTAGCAGTGTGAATATGTATGTTTAAATTGTTATATGTAACTTAACTTTGTGAATATATCTATATACACACACATATGTAAATATACATATGTTTGTGTATGTAGGTTTATGTGTATATATATATGTGAATATACCTTTTTTAATCTTTCTAGAATTGCACAAGTATGTATATATATATGTAAATACACATATATATATATATATATACACGTACACGTGCATGTGTAGATATAAATATATATATATAGTTATTTGTTTATTTTTATTTGTGAAACTATATCTGTATATTTGTATTTTTCCCCACCTGCCAGGTGAGGGTTGTTAGATTTTATGTCAGTTGCCTCCTCGTCCTCCTCCTCCTTCTCCTCCTCCTCCTCCTTCTCCTCCTCCTCCTCCTCTCGTTGTCCTCCTCGTCCTTCTGCTCAACTGCGACTCGCGATCCACAGTGTTCGCTGTCGGACCTCAACCACGACCATCCACGCCCAGTGTTCCCTGCCGGACCTCAACCACGACCATCCACGCCCAGCGTTCCCTGCCGGACCTCAACCACGACCATCCCCGCCCAGTTTTCCCTGCCGGATCTCAACCACGACCATCCACGCCCAGTGTTCCCTGCCGGACCTCAACCGCGAGTATCCCCGCCCAGTGTTCCCTGCCGGACCTCAACCACGACCATCCACGCCCAGTGTTCCCTCCCGGACCTCAACCGCGAGTATCCACGCCAAAAGATATGCCACATAGAGTGCCAGAAGATATGCCAGATAGAATGTTAGAAGATATGCCAGATAGAATGCCAGAAGGAATGCCAGATAGAATGCCAGATAGAATGTCAGATAGAATGCCAGAAGATATGCCAGATAAAGTGCCAGAATGTTTGCCAGATAGAATGCCAGCAGATTTGCCAGATAAAATGCCAGAAGATATGCTAGATAGAATGCCAGATGGAATGCCAGAAGATTTGCCAGATAATATGCCAGAAGATATGCCAGATAGAATGCCAGATGGAATGCCAGAAGATATGCCAGAACATATGCCAGAAGATATGCCAGAAGATATGCCCGAACATCTGCCAGAAGATATGCCAGAACATCTGCCAGAAGATATGCCAGGTAGAATGCCAGAAGATATGCCAGATAGAATGCCAGATCGAATGCCAGAAAATATGTCAGATAGAATGCCAGAAGATTTGCCAGTAACAAAATGTATAAATATCATGGTGGGGATCACACGAAGTAAAGTAATTTAACTAGATATATTCATATTCAATATACATATATATGTATGCACATACATATTCATATATTTATGTCAAAACACTTTTCAATATATAGACATGGCATATTTGCGTATTGTAACTTATTTCATTTATATGATCAGGAAAGAAGAAAGGCACTTCTTTGTGAGCATGTGATGGAGCAGGACTTGATGTTAGCAGTACTGAAACGTAGGGGGGGACCATTAATGGGTACAAACATCGAACATAACATGTACCACAATGATTTCTGGTCATTTACCAACTTAAGTGGAAGTGCGTTCGTGCATTTCCACGTATGGGATCAACCACGGCCATGGCACATCCCTCAATCTAGATGCAATTCAACTTCATGAAGTGGGTGCAGATCCAGATTTTTTGCCTTCCATTTGTCCCACACCGTTTTTTTTTTTGCAGGAGATCAACAATTAGCTTCTGGTAAACTGTCACATAACTATGGAAAGATCCACCATGTTATAGCTGGGTAAATCCACTATTTCTATGGTCATTTTCAATAGCTATTTTGACATAACCAGAGGGTATCAAAATTCATGTTGTAACAAAAACAGTCCGATTCCAAAAGTTTTTTTTTTTTTTTCGGCCAGCCATGGTTACCATGGTTTGAATCTTGAAATAATAACCATTAAGTGGCAACAAATGGTGGAAATATGGTGTATAAACCACTCACAATATGTTTTTACAACCGCCAAGAATGACAAGACATGTTGTTTTTTTTTTGGAATAGTGGTTTCTGAATGGATCATTCACATTGGCAGTTAAAATCATCCAATTATTATTTATGTTGTTAATTCAAAATAAAATATAGGTTTCCTGAAATGGTGGTACCCCCAGTTATCATCCATTTCAGTAGGGATTTTCCATGAAATAAACCATCCAGCGAGCTTGGGGTACCCCCATTTTAAGAAACCCCCATATGTGAATAGATTGAGGGGTGTTCAATTTCTTGTGCTTCATCCAGATCCGTATCCCCCAGAGATCCACAATTTTTTGCCCTGCAGGGCGACCTTCTGCCCAAACTCTACGAAGCATTGAAACCTGAAGAAAAAAATGGCAGGCTTGCTCCAACCACTGAACATTGGAATTTAAACATCGAAGAATTGGGATAAAACATGATAAAACATGATAAAACATGATAAAACATGATAAAACATGATAAAACATGATAAAACATGATGTAATCCTGAAGATTGGGACTTATATAAACATTCAATATATCCAATGAGCATTCCATGATGGGAAAAGTATCGGCAAAATCCTGGCCACATCGTTTCGAGAGCCATTCATCGAGATGTCGCCGCTTTCAATTTTGGTTGACGAAACCCAATGTTGGCTGGTTTCAATGCTGATGGCAAACATGAGGCTGTTTTTTATATATAATATAATGTATAATATATATATAGATAGATACATATGTTTATATATTAGTTATGAAAACATATATTAGATACTATACATATGTATATATACTAACCCTTTCATATATGTTTATAGACTATACAGCAAAGGGTTAGTAATGAAAGGCGTTGCCTACCAGTATGTGGACTGGGATGCAAGGTGGCTCCACATCTCAGCGAAGATGTGCCCAGAAGACTCCACCTAGTACCTGGTTTATTGGGGATTATAATCTACATATCATTATACATGTATATATATATACATGTATGTGTATATGGATATGTATAATGTATGTGTATATATATACACATAAATGTACATAAATGTATATATATATGTATGTATATATATATATATGTATAAATATATTCATATATATATATAATATACATGTAATAATATACGCATATAGATACACACACACAATCAGGTTCCAATGGAAGTTCTCATGTTGTATTTAAACTGAGCGATATGCTGGGAAACTGACCTAATGTTTATCAAGTCATACAGAGTGTCATTTTGCAATAACGCTGTTGGTAAAAACATGCGCAGACTTGGGCAATAAATGATTTTCACGTTGGATTATGTTGCGGGAGTCTTTCCCGAACATTGCAATAGACTAGTGGACCGGCAGTGTTATGTAGGGAGATTGGACTGAACATTAGATCCTCTGGTCAATTCAGCATCATCATACGATTTACTAGTGTCAGCCGCTCATTTGTGAATTTCTTTATGATGTACCTCATGAAGTCACCCCTCATTCCCTCGCCTGTTCAAAATTGCGGACCGGCTGATATTTCTTGCTCCAATAAGATTCGAGAAGTCAGGGTGTTTTGCAGCTCTCAGACGCAGCCCCGCAAAAACAGAGAACATGGAAGAGGGCAGCGTACCTTTGCCTCATCTTGCGACATCTATATCACTATCACTGCCTGAAATGAAACAGGTAGGGGTATTGGTGTACCCTCTGGTTATTTAACATAGCCATGGTATAGATGGCCCATAGAAATAGATGGTTTACCTATTAAGAATGGTGATTTTCCATGGCAAACTGTTAGTCATAACCAGATGGTAACCATGGTGAGCTCACTTCTACAAGTTGTGATATGGTGCCCCATGGTGCACCTATACCCATGGTGAAATAGAATCACTGCACTGGAACTGCACCCCGTAGGTAGCACTATTAGTGAGGTCACCGCCGTCAGCACATCATGGTTGAGATATGTTGAGATCATAACAAAGAAATATTGGTGTAGTACATAGATGTACATAGCAGCTAATGACAGCACAATGTTAATTAGTGATCATATGTGACAATGATAATATATATATAATATATATATAATATTTATACAGAACACAGGTATATGGTTAAATAGCATAGTCAAATGACAATCATAGTCACAAGATCTTCAGCCCACACAGAATCAGCTCTCGGCATCCCACTCTCCAACGTCCAACGTCGGCCGGTCATCGCCGGTGACGAACGCGAACGCTGCCATGGCGATGCTTCGGTACGCCGTGGATGGCGTCAAGCGTCAAGCGCTTACAGGAGGCTATGGGGGTCGAGTAACAAAAACGGAGGTATAATACCAACCATACTGGGGATATTCGCATGTGATGGGATATAACCAACTCGTGATTTGGGGCTGTCTGGCTGAATACTGAATGACTATATATATGTTATATATATATATCATATATTAATATATATATATATATCATATATTAATATATATATATATGTATATGTATGTATATACTTACACACATGTATATACACTGCGTATATGTATAATATATATATACAGTATATACGTAGATAGGTCACGTGTATCTCAAAGATGGTTTGTGTGGTGAATTGTCTGGGATCTTTTGGCCTTGGGTGAACCAGAGGCTAACCAGGGTTGGATGCTATTAAGATCTATTAAGCATATTATACACTTATATAACTTATATAACTTATATAACTTATATAACTGATATATTGTGTTGATAATAAGTTGTAAGCATGGTTACAGCCATTTATATCTCCAACTGCAGCAAGTAGTTTGGAGACCACTGAAGGCTGCGAAGCAGTTGGAGTGGATTCTTTCTTCGCGGCTCTCCAGCGATGTCTTGCGAAAGTCGGTGTGATCCTTAGAAGAAGCGGCCATTTGGGCCACGGGTGGTGATGCGCTTGATTGAGCTTGGGTTTAGCCCGGGGGTCCCTTATGTTTCTTCATGTTTGGATGGTTTATCAGACTGATTCAACATGATTTTCTAGAGTGGTGATTCGTGGTTAAAGTGCTGGGTATAGAGGAAATTGCAGGGAACCTAAGGAAACCCATTTGTGCTAATTCATACTACCAAACTTGGTTGAAATCAAACAAAGATCATTTCTATCCCAGCCTCAGTGGATGAACAGGGCATGGTCCTCGGATGTACATCCTGGGGATGGTTCCCATACTGCCTGGGATCCAAGTCCGCTGAACATGTAGGGTTTTGGATAGGTATACCTGATCTGGTTGGTGGTTTCAAACATGGCTGGATTATGTTCCATTTCATATATGGGATGTCATCCTTCCCATTGACTTTCATATTTTTCAAGATGGTTATTGCACCACCAACCAGTGATAAATCAAAATACCTCTGAAAGTTCAGCAACTTCATCAACTACTTGAATTGATGATGTAAATTTCAGCGTGGTTATCCTCATTTTGGTGTTCTCCACCCGAAATAAGCACAAGCCAGTTCCGCGTCTCAGGCGACGAAGCTGTTGAGGAACGGTCGACAGCCCTGGGTCTTCGCCCTTCATTTGCTGCGTCGTTTGGATGAGAGTGCCTCGAAATTATGGGGGATTCAGCATGTTTCAGCCATGAAGCTTCATGGATTTGACCTGATGGGAATGAACTGGATTTGTTGCCAAAATGTGGCTGAAGGACCGCCAAAATGGTGGGTTTAATGAGGTATAATCATAAGATTTAAGCTGCAAACATGCAAGGTTGCCCACAAAAAGTTTGGAGAAACCCGTTTGGATGCGGGTGTGGGTCGAAATTTTAGATTTTTAATGGTAAACAAATGTGGTAGCCCAATAATACTGAACCATCCCCACTTCCTCTGGAAACCTGTTCTAATGTACATGCTCCCATTTGGAAGAATATCATTGGGTTTACCATATTAATTCCCAAATTAGCAATGCTTACCATTTACATCCCCCCCCAACAAGGGAATATCATAGCTCTGTTCAATATGGGTTTGTCAGAAGTTGGAGGATACCTGCAAATAGCAGTTTATCAACCATTGGATCTTGAGGTACCCTATTTTCAATCAATTCCATATCCCAAACATAAAATTCATATCTTATATAAACCCCAAAAAGTTGTGGATATCCTGATATCCCATTTGCTTACGTCTATTCTTATGATCAATGGATAAATGTCCATTATACATCATTATACCTTATATCTCCACTATAGAATTATCCCAAACTTCCACTCATTTTCATGAGCTACCAACATCCAAGGTGCCGTGCGGCCAGACTTGATTTCCTTTGGAGCCGCCCAAGATACCTTGGCACACAGCAAGCACAGCTCGGCGTGGCAACATGCGCTGGCTGTGTTGGTGGAGGCTGCGGTCGGTTGTAGCTGAGAACTGATGTGGTGTGAACCCTGGATTGTTTGAGTGGGTGCCATTTGAGTATCAGATCCTAACTATTTGAGGAGTATCCCCTTAATAAACGATGGCTTATCAATCTGGGGTTGTCATTAAGCCATTTAATGGCTATTTAATGGCTATTTAATGGCTATTGAATATACTTAATGGGAACATATTGGGAGACAATGGCTGATGGAATATAGCTAACCAACAATCTACAGGGTTTCTCCAACCCATTATGGGTGAATGGTGGGCCTTGTCGGGTGTAATAGCAGGCCTGATGAAGATCGAACAACAAAAAGCGGTTGTTTGAGAACACGAAATTTGGAGAATTACAACAGGTGATGACCTGTTTCAAAGCAACGGTTTGACATTTAGGCCATTGACGATTTTGAAACAATTGTGAATGGCAGAGGATTTAACCGTTAAGATCTGGATATTCACCAAGAAATAAGCAGAGGACGAGTGCCTCAACTTGGAGTTTACAACAAAGAGAAATTAATCTAGATATTGAAACAATAGAACGTCGGAGCAACACATGTTTTGGGATATCCACCAAGCAGAGGATTGTTCATTTTGCCCAACTTTTACATCCAGTTGGGGAACAGGGAACACCTGAGAAGATAGCAACCAGATTGAAACTTCTCACGGGTGTCATCTTCCAGGCCTCTTTTTTTTGGGGGGAGTAGTGAGGAGGGAGACCCTTATGTAGACTAGATATGTTAAACAAGGTAGCTCCACTTTAGCTGCCCTTTGTTCCTCAAATCCGATGTTCCCTGTCGACAATCTCGACTTGCCCAATGGGATCATTTTGTTTCGCACCAAGGACGGCAAGTGACTATGACTAAGGAATTGTTGGCAAGTGAAACTATCCAACATATCCATCTATTGGTGATTGAATCAGTTTTTCATAGTTTTTCCATAAAAGATCGATGCCGATCGATGTTGTTTCTATTTTTCATACTATTGCCATTCGGAAATAGATTGATAGATTTTATTCCCCCATTACCCTCTGGTAAACTAACATAGCTATGGAAAATCACCATTTTCAATGGGTAAATCCACTATTTCTATGGCCATTTTCAATAGCTATGTTAGTTTACCAGAGGGTACTTGCAGGACCATCCCAACTGATCAATGTTGGGAGGTGCAGCTGCGCAGACTCAGTGTGGATGCAGCGTTGATGGCTGTGGCCATCCATGCGTGTCGACAGCGATGGCGACAGGCCAAAAAAAATGATGTCGATCAAAGCTGGATCAGATGGGGAATACAGGGGCATACAAAGAGGAGATATTAGGCTGGTTGGTGGTTTGGAACATGGCTTCTATTTTCCCCTTCCTAGTTGGGATGATGATCCAATCTGACGAACTCATTTTTCAGAGCGGTTGGTCAACCACCAACCAGTAGGAGATGCTACTTACTTAATGAAGATATCTTGAGACTTGAATGTTGATCCATGAGTGTCTGGGAATAGAAACAGTCGAATTATTGCTAATTTGGTTTGATCATGTTTGATCGATGTACGATGACGTACGGGATATTTAAGATATAAGATCATTTCAAATCAATATCATATAATATCAAAAAAGAAGTCCATCACCTATATATTTTCCATGATTACTGGCCGCCAGACGGATTTCCAATCGTGGGATGACGTTAATAACCCACAGTTAAGCCGGTGGTGTTTGACCATGGCAGCCGACTCAGCACTTCTGTTATGATCATGGTTAATTTTGATGACAACTTGATGACAACTTGATAACGCAACCAAATAATCATGATGTTTGTGAGAGTTATATTGTATTGATGGGGAAACTTCGGAAACCAATGATGAAAGAAGAGGGTTTTGGGGGAATATAGTTCACATATAGAATAGTCTCCATTTCGACAATATCTAATATGTTCTTTACATCTACAATCGTGGGCCATACACTGCTGAAAACAGAGGCAACTTAACAACCAAAAATTGAATGTAACTTGGAGTTGCTGGGTGCAATCTAATTTCCAAGCCATTAGTAGCCCGCAATTACAACATATTATAACCATTATAATTATATCCCAATCTGTGAGGGTACAACCGATATAACCACGGCGCCATACTTTAACTGCGGCCCAAGTTGAGGACCATCGTTGTAGCATCTTGGCAAACAATTATCGTCAGACTCTCCGCGCAAAACTTGGTTGTTTTGTTTCTGGCCATGGAACATCAAAAAACTGACCAACTGAAAAAGTGTGTTTTTTGATGTTTTTTGTGCCGGGTATCTAGTTGACTGGCCATGTTTTGTTGGTTCAACCACCAGGCCTTTGCATTGCTGGCAGATGCTACAAGGTGGAGGGGCAGACGTTGGAAGTTTTGGAGTAGCCTCTCAAACATGGCAATGCGGGATTGCCAATAAATGGAGGTTTCAATAGAAACAAAATATGTACAACGGTGGGATTTTCCATTGCCGTTTAGGCAGTCTCTGGCACTTTGGAACAGTTTGCTATGGAAGCCATGGCCCATTGGGTTCAATGATTTACCTATGAAAAAATCTTATTTGTCATAGTTATGTTAAATTACCAGATGGCATACATCTGCATTACGCATCCTTCTTTAGATCCCAAAATATTGAATAATGTGGACTCATACCCATACCTAGTAAAGTTCTTGGTCGGAGGGATTTACTTCACAACCACCAAACATCAATATGAGCCTTTCATGGGCAACATGCGATATTACCCCATTAAAAGAACAAACATCAGGTGTATTCTGATTTTATCAGGTGCACTTGCGGACTTGGGAAGCCACCCACTTGGGACAGCACTTTTTGAACACGTGCGATTTGAGCGATCTTTGGGATACCATGCGGTCCAAATCGCCTTTTGAAATTTGACACATTAAGACTCTGATGTACTTGGCTGGTTGATGGTTGTACAATGTTGTACACATCATGTATGATGTGAAATATACGTATAATTATATATATACACACTATATGTAAGACTACTAATATGTAAAATTATGTATGTATTTTTTTTTGTTCAGCCACATTTGGTTCAGATGCCAAATTTTCCTGAGATCAGATGAGGCCACCGATTTTTCCATCGTCTTGACCCATGATGAACATCAGCCATGACGTAATCCACACAGGGTCGTCTTAACAGGCACAAACTCAACGACTGGGCAGCATGTTGTGGGGAATCCTTGGTGAAGACCATGCAGATCCATGGGACTTAGTGGTTTATCGATGGTTTTTAGTGACGCTCAACTGGGGATACTTCATGTAGATACACATGGCTGGGTTACCATGTGCTTATTGCCTAGTTATTGAGATATATTGAGATCTTAGCTGTTTCGTCACTCGCGTGCTGGCACTCAGCACTCGCGTGCCAGCACTCGCGTGCTCAGCACTCACTCCAATGCACTTTTCCCAGTGTGCATCCTAGTAGATATGTTTATCTTGATTTAGATAGTGGATGCTTTTATTGGAATAGGAAAACTGCATTGGAGTGACGATAAGCATGAGATATCATGAGATCCTCATCACATTCATGAGAGCCGCACGAGTAACTCCAAGTGGCGTTGATTTTTTCAACACCCTGAAAGAAATTACCCTTTTGGAGGAAACGGGGAAACCCCAGATGCTTTTTTGGGAAGCGCAAAATGCATCCGCACGTCAGGCAGATATTCGCACGTTACCGGGTGCTTTTGTCACAGAAAAGTAAATGCACCGAGGTATGAATAGGATAATAGAACCCCATGCGTTTCGAACTTGCGATTTACTAGCCCTTTAAGGTCTAAGATTTGTATGGATGCTTTTTTCGGATCTAGTTAAATGCATTTACATATATCATCACAATGCTAAAACACACTGCGTGACGAACCTGCGTGCTAGCACTCAGCGTTGCGCGTGCTGCGTGCTGGAGCTGCTAAGATTGAGATACACCTCCAAGTAATTGACCATAGTTACAGTAAGCAGCCATATCAATCAACAATCGCTAACATTTATCCAATCAAGCTACCAATTAATGGCTCGCGTGATCATCTCTCCAAAACAATAATGACCAAATGTTATTTGTTGGTGATATTACGGTGCAGATCCCAAACCCTGTTTGTGATGGTTAAATTAATTGGACCTCCAAAAAATCTAAGACATCTATGAAAAAAAAGTTTAAACAAAAACAACACATTAAGAGGGATTCAGAAAACATCATGGGGATTAGTGATCAATATTTTCCACAAACAACATAATTCACCCGGAAAGACCCAGTCGCCCACCAGGCGCAGTCTTTTCAGCGATGTGGCGCGCAGTTCCAGTATCTTGGCCTGCGGCGTAGCCTTGCAGTGGCGCAGAGCATTGGCACCTTGGTGGCGAGCTCGGTGCGGCTGAGCTGGGAACACCGGTGTTAAGTGTTAAACATAGCTGGGACGTGCCGGAACGAAATAGAGGTTTCTAGCTGGGAATGAGAAAATATAGGGAACATATCACTATTATCACTATTAGGTGGGAAAATACCAAGGATAAATGATACATAGAGTTTATGTTTAATAGCTGGGGTATGCGATTCTAATGTGATAAGCCCAATAATAATCCTACCGTATCCTACCATTTGGGGATGATAGTTACACACCATTTATAGTGATTTTGGGGATGATTTATTATTGGGTTTACCAGAGTATTAGTAAAACATAGCGATAAATTGTTAAGAGTATACATTTATTTAGAGACATCTGTGATATTTAATAGTAAACATTAATACATCAGACACGGAGTAACCCCCAAAAAATATAGAGTTGTCCTTCTGCAGTATTGATTCATTTCATGACCCACCAGCAAAAACAGTTTTGTTCTTTGCGAATGATTGGAACCGGTGGTTCAGGGGTCCCAAAATCACGGAGCATTAATTTCTTGGCACACGTCCATTTTCGTTTATTTTGAACATTGTTGAACTATTATATCTCTATAAAACATTTTTTTAAACATCACTTTTAGATGGCTCTGGAATATGATGGCCCTGGTGGGCCGGAAGATTCTCACTACATTTCGTCACTATTGGTTGGTAGTTGTATCAGGGTTCGCTAAGGGTAGCTAGGGTTGATTGAGGGAATCCATATCAAACAAGCTGTCAACCTTTACAAGGTCCCTCCAGGCCTTATTTGTTTGGGTGGTACCTCTACCTAGCAATCTCTACAAAGATAAGTGATAATGTCAGGTTGGGTTTTGACCCCAGTTAGTATGGTTGTATCCATGTCAGGTCAATGACTAAGCCAACATAATAAGTGTGTATATATATATACATATTTACATATACATATATATATATAAATACACGTAAACATGGATGTCACAGTTATACAACAAACTTTTTGTGGGTCCGAACAGGTACCATATTTGCACTGCTTAGTTGAGCAGTTTCCAAAACCCTTTTTGGTGGCTATCCAATACATGGGCGATGAATCTTATGGAACAACCATTTTTTGGGTGGTTCTCCAATAAGTATCCCATTAGTATATGTATATGACTGTGTATATAGATATACACATTTACATTTATATATATATAGATAGATGTGTATAGATGAGTTTGATATAGATGTTTTCAGGGCATTTCATGAGATGAGGCCATCCTTACAGATAGCTCGACGTCGGCGCATCGCATCCCCTGCTCTGCCGCCACGTACAGCTCAGTGACTGATCGAAACAATGGAGGCCTTTTGTATGGGAAGAGGAGGTTGCAGTCACGATGGCATTTTGGTTGGGTCGTTGTGACAGTCAATATGATTGTCCTTTTCTTGTTCGCTCGATAGACTTCCATCATGATATCTATTGAATCCCAGTTTTCACATATGTTGAAGCCAAATTGCAATCGTTTCTTGGTTAAACACAGATGTTTGAAACATGTTGAACCATGGGCGGGATGGAGTTTCCATTTTTCTAGAGAGTCCCATGTGTCAACATTAACAGGTTGAGAAGATGGGTAAGAACATGTCAGTAATTTAGATTAATTTAGAGCATCATCTTCAGGTGGATTTCATTGTCCGATGGAACTCCAAGACGTGGAAGTGTAGCATCAAGTGATGTGATGCCCTCATAAGTTGAGCAGCCGCGTTTGACACCTCGTTGATGATCACTTCGGGGATTACATTATCATCATTATCCAGTATACACTGTGGTAAACTAACATGGCTATAGAAAATCACCATTTTAATGGGAAAATCCACTATAAATGGCCATGTTCAATAGCTATTTTGACATAACCAGAGGGTATCCAGTTTTTTTCTGGGGATTCTCACCATCCAACAGCTCAGTTGACAACAATCACAGCATGTTCTTTGGATTGGCTGAGAAAGCACCCGAATAGTCCATACTCTGGGATGCATATCCAGATCATTCAAAATCTATTTGTAACTGGTCCTTAATGTTTGTTTTCCATTGTCATATAGGTCTAGTTCATACTCACTATAATTTAAATTGATTATCCCCAATATGTGGGCTGATTGATGCTTATATGATACGTTCAAAGGAGGTGTGACAACCACTTTTTTTGTCATACACCAGGGTAATGATTAAGTCTTGATCCATAGTCCATAACCATATTCTAATTGTTTCCAGACAGTTCCTTTCCTTCGGCCTTACTTGAAGACGAAATGATACCACAAATAACTAAGATAGACCCCATTTGCAAGACAGTAACACCTGTACAGTAAGCAGTTCAGTTATATAATATATGTTAATTGAGTTATTTTCTCATTTGAAAAAATCAACTAAAACAGAATATTTTAGACCTAATTTCTATATACATCTATATACCCACATGAAATCCTTGGTGGAGACCTTTAGACATTTCCATCCTGAGGCAATGTGTGCGATGGAAAGCGCCACTCAATGGCAACATGCCTTGGAGATCCTCCGCTTGGCCATAGAAGAGGCCCAACGGGCGGCTTGATTTTAACCTATAACGGAACCATTCAATGAATCAAATGGGGAAACATAACCTATATAATATACATATACCTATACATATACCTATATATATATTATACCTATACATATACCTATACAGCTATTGTCAAAATTGTGGATATGTCACGACCTCACGACGTGACGTTGCAACGTAAATGATGGTTTATATAATTTATACACGCGGAATCATCCCAATGTGACATCATGTCAGCTTGGTGAAATACTGAGATTTTTTACCCACTTGGATGATTAAAACAGATGCAAGGGATATACCACTTATAGCTGGGTCACATCATGGCTATGAACCCTTCACTTCTAAGATCTTCTAAGTGCCTGCCGTGGAAACGGAGGCAAAAATTGCTCCCCTTCAAGAGAAGTGCTCATAGAGAAGCAAATGAAACAGTCGTAAAGGTTGTTAGATGCAGTGTCTCAGATCTGCTGATTTTCGTCGGCAGTGGACTTCCAGATGCACGAAAAATTCTGGTTTCCAGATGCACTGCCTCTGATCGATTCTCTGAGGCTCGCGGCATTCTTGCAGAATACTGTCTGAAAGAACATGTGGGGGTTTTCCATAGTCATGGGGGGTACCCCCAGTCATCATCCATTTATAGATGGATTTTCCATGAAATAAACCATCCATAGTCATGGGGATAGCCCCATGACTATGGAAACCTCCATGTGACATAGCAACGCTACCACATACACATCGCCTGAGAAGTGCACACGCGAGCACGAGGTGCATGGCAAGTCCATGAAACAAAAGCATGATCCGAAAAAACAAAAAAAAGTACCAAATTTACTTTTCATGGATAAACATTCATTAAGGGTGGCGAAGCAAGCAGATTTGACCACGGTCAGATCTTAGAAACTGATTTCAGGTTTGTTGGATGGCTTGATGAAGGTTTGCTCATCGTACTCTATCCAGTCGAGACAGCCACTGGTAAACGGCAAAAAAACAGTTTTGGGATTGAATAAGGAACTACATGGGTTTTGTGGGGTGTTAAGCGACAGACATTGGGGATCTAGTTGATAAATGATGCTTCATTCGTCAGTTGGAGTCGTGCTAGCTGGTTTGCTGGGGAACTTGGACTTACCCAAAATAAGAGTAGCTAACAGGATACTGCTTCACACCAGGAGAAGCATCAAACATTAAACATGGCCTTTGAAATCCGAGTGAAAACCAAGATTCTTTCCAGATGTACTGTGTTTCTTAAGTGGAAAACGGAGCCCTGGTTCGCTTCCATGTGAGTTTTCAAGGTTGAACCATGTTGAACCTATTGAGTCAGATGTTGCTTTGCCGAACGCTCACACCATGTGCTCAGCATGTCAGGTGTCTCCTGATGTGGTCTTGTTCTCCGCTGGCATCAGTGCAACTGAAGCAGCAGGATCTCAGTTTTGTTTTTCTGTGGGGTACAATGATATATAGACAACACATTCCATATAATTATAATGTAATTATATACTATGCAATGTAATTGATGCAATAAAATCTAATATATTACAAGTAATGTAATGTAATAGATTGTAACATAAGTTAATAACTGTAAATCTGTTTGCGCACACTTTTCATGCAGCTGTACATGTGTTCAGCAGAACAACTGCCTGAGATCGAAGCTCAGAGTTGCGATGAAGCTGATCGAGAGGCCTTCCAACAAAGCTTTCAGTGGTCGGAAACATCAGTTCCGGAAAGGATAGCACTACTTGTCGGTCAGACAGAAGATTGCAATGTGCGAGTTCGATATCTTCCTCTTGGGAACTTGGTTGACCTCTAGTGCCAATCCCAACGCATGGAGCCGCGGATGGAGAAGCTGCAATCCCTGGACTACATTCTACCGATGTTGGAGGGAACTTAGGGAACTTGTCCACAAACGTTGCTTGCGCTTTCAAAGAATGCATTCATGCCTATCTACGTCTAGATATGCACACACACACACATTTGAATATGGACCGCCTGAAACACTTGGAAGGTCACTTAGGTCACTCAATTCAACTTTTGATTGGTAGTCACTCTTGTGGACCATTCTTTGAATTTGTCCCAAATTTGAGCAGGAGGTGCCATCTAAAATGTCTAAGTCTGAGGGCATGATTCCCGAACTTAAATGAATTGCTTATCATATCAATACAATACCTTGGTAAATGATAGCTTCCTTAAAGCGAGGTCACAATCAACGATGGTCTTAGTCGGGACAAGCATTCCAAAAAATAGCCTACTTCTGATATGAGAATTATATAGGTATACCCCCATGACTTCTGGGATTTAGGGGCTGAAACCCCAAGTTTCTGGGACCGTCACAGGAATCCCAACTTTCTCCAATAAACTCCCTTCCAGACACCCTTGATGATGGACCCTCTGGTTATTTGACGTAGCGAACTGGAAAATAACAACAAATCAAAAATTCAATACAGTAGGTAAATAATCATGTTTATCATGTGTTTTCATGGGCCATGGTTTCCATAGCTATCTTAGTCAGGTCTAAAAAACAACCAGAGGCGCTCGTGAATCTGCTCCTTTGGTGTACATCTCTGCAGTTTCTGATGAGTTCCCAAAAATCCACTTGATTTTATGGTCCCCAAAAATGATTTGGTCATGTTCAGGAGAAGGGATTGTTATAGAGGAATTCTAGGGGATTATAATCCAATTAATTAACAAGACAAATAATTTCATAAAGTATCATAAAGGTTTAAACAAATGGATAATGAGGACAACAGTGGGATTATCATGCAATACCAAAGTACTGTAGCTTGTCAAATAGTAGTCATCCTATGTTATCCTCCATATTAGATTAATACCAACCATCCACTACTTGCACTATCCCTATATATAGATCTAAAATGAAGTAAACAAAATGAAATATCTAGGGATCTTTAGGGATATTTCATATCAGATTTCATATAGACCTAAAATGAAATAACATGATATTATCTCTATATGATGCCCCATTTGTTTATGTCCAAAAACCCACAGGAGGTCGC